CCCCAAAACCCCAAAACCCCAAAACCCCATTCATCAAGAATTTGAGAGTTATGAAAGTTAATGAAAGTTAATGAATTTCTGATAAATTAATGATAGATTTAATAAGATTAGAGCATGAGTCTGATTATTTAATGCTCTTCGATAACTATAATTCAAAAGTATATTAAACCAAACCTTATAATCCTATGGGCAACTGTATCACACAAAATACCAACGTATAGTAAAATTCTCCCTCTAGTTCAGATTTGAACTCAGTACATTATAAAAATTCCTTTGAGAAACAAATGATCATAGGATAGGGAGGATTTAGTAGAGTATGGAAAGTTCAATCAAGAAAGAATCCTCACGACATTTATGCGCTTAAAGAGATGTCAAAGGCTAAAGTCATTTTGAAGAACAGCTTAGCTCAAATACTAATGGAAAAGACTATTCTTTCAAAGATGAAGAATGATTTCATTGTTAACATGCATGCTGCATTCACTGATAGAGATAGTATGTTCTTAGTGCTTGACTACTGCAATGGTGGAGACCTCAGATATCAGATGCAAAGATAAGTATTCAATGAAAAAGAAACGAAGTTCATGATTGCTTGCTTGGTTTAGGCTCTTGAGTGCATTCATACAGCTGGAGTTATTCACAGAGACATTAAGCCAGAGAATCTTGTATTCAATGAAAATGGATATTTGAGATTGACTGACTTTGGAATCGCTAGATAAGTGCCTTTCTTATAAACATAGAACACTACAACAGATTTCCAAGATAATTCAGCCCCAAAATATGGAATCATCGATACCTCAGGAACTCCAGGCTACATGTCTCCAGAAGCACTTTGTCAATTACCATAGTCTTATACCACTGACTATTTTGCAATGGGAGTAATAATTCATGAGATGATATTAAGAAAAAGACCATATAATGGTAAAAGTAAATAACAAATTCGCGAAAGTATGATTACAAAGCAAGTTTAAATTAAGGATTACGAAGTTCCTGTTGACTGGTCCTCAGAAGCTGCAGATTTCTGCAACCTTCTTCTTAAGAGAAGACCACAAGACAGACTTGGATTTAGCTTTGGAATTCAAGATTTAAAGGATCATGCTTGGTTTAAAGGTTTCGACTGGAAAGCTCTCAGTGCTTAAAAGCTTAAAGCACCATGGGTTCCACCAAAAGGTGACAACTTTAGAAAAAGAGAAACTTTGGATTTCTTCGATGGATCTCAAAATTTCTTCAATGAAGATGAGGAGATGGACTTCTTAGAAATACAAAAGATTATCTTAAGAGACGATATGGTTAAACTGTTTTAAACCTACAACTATCAATCACCAACAAGTAACATTATAAACATTAGACCATTGAATAAACTTCAATACAAGTCCTTTAAAGAAAAGCAAATGAGCTAGTTAAAGCAAAAGTCAAGAAATCAATCTAACATTGAAAAGCTCAACAGAATCAAGCCACAAATAATCGAAGATAAGTACCATGAAGTCAAAGTATAAGAATGTGAGTGGAATGAATTCGAATAACCAAGATCAAACAAGAGTGCTAACTCTGTTTAAGTTTAATCCTTTAGCTCAACAGCCCAATCTTCTAGAAAAGGATCATTTAATCCAAATGAAAAATCTCGCTTCTTTGTTAAGTAAGTCAAGATTGAGAATCATAGCAATGAAGATGATTGGAATTGATGTAAAATTACTATCAAGTTGTGTTAAATGCAAATCAAACGACAACTACTGACTCTTATTGTATTCTAAATGTATATTATAGTTATATAACATTAATTTATGATTAATAACATAACCTAGCTAAATCATTTTTTCTCATTTTTCCCAAATTCATAAATAAATTCTGATCTTTGGGGTTTTGGGGTTTTGGGGTTTTGGGG